TTTCCGTCATCAATCTACTTATAAATTGTGTTTATATGATTAACTGATTGAGTCCAGCAATCATAAGTGCAGTAGGCTTAGTTTGTCTTAAACTAGACATCCTTTTTTTTTTTTTTTTTTTTTTTTATTTAAGCTAAATTATTTTCAGCTGACATAACTTTATGGATCTACTAATTCTGTTAGCCTGCTTGAATATAACAGTTCTAAAAATGAAAGAAAATAGGGATGTTTGAATGATATAATGTTTTAGATTTAGAACAGCTTTAATCAAAAAGACATTTAAAGGTGCTGTATGTAAGTTTTTGACTTTTCTAAAGCATAAAATACCATAATATGTTTGCAGATATTTAAGTAACATGCTAAGTGAACATTCTTGTTTATCTGAAAAACAATGCGGAAGTCAGATATTCTGCTTTAAAAATGTGCATTACATGCCGGAACATCTGTCTTTGTTTTGGTCATTTAACCCGCCCAATGCCAATTTAGCCAATTATATTTCAGAACCCTGGATTACCTTGGTGTGGTTCATTCAGTCACCCAACACCACGATGGACCCTGCTGAGATATGGATGTTATTACATTTTGTTATCAGGATATTAAAATAAACTAAAAACAACTAACCTTTCAAAGACCACCACTCACTTCACTGAGCAACAGTCACAGCATAATAACACATCCAATTCTCAGCAGGGTCCGTCATTGGTTTTGGGTCCCCTTGAAACATTTACAAACAAATTTGTTTTGTGAATATTTGCAAGTGTCGTGACTAATTGCAGCGAGTTTTTTCAGTTGTTTGTGTTGTGACCAATTGTTGCGTGTTTCTTCAGCTGTTTGTGTTGTGAGAATTTTGATGAAGATCGTTTTCTTTATTTGCTGGTGTGTTTTGTAATTGCATGTGCTTTTTTAAATGCAGCACGTTAAGCTCTCGCAGCCAACATACACAAATCTCTTAAAAGCTACCAAAAATGCAACCTCCAGTTGAAAATAGCAGCCTTCAAAATGAGACGCAGATTCAGAGTTCCACATGAGGTGGCTATTAATTAATGAATAATGTAAATATTACGAACTTAAACATTAGGTGAACATTACATTGTAAACCCATGTCTTAACAACACGCTACATGACGAGATTTGCAGTGAAAAGCAATTTGGCTGTTTGCTCCAGATGAAACATGACAGAAATTTAAATACAGCCATTCAGAATAGAATAGTGCAGTTACTGCACTCCAGCAAAATGGTAAGGTTTAGATCTAATTAATATATCTTAAACCTCTTTAACATTATTAAATGAACATGCTGAATCAATGCTATATGTTGGCTTGCACTGAGTCACAGTTCTAAAGTTCAAGATCTGAGGTAAACTATCTGCTGCTGCTTTCAGTAGTATGGCAATAAATGACTAGTAAAATGGCATTCAAACTCACATTATTAGAAATGAATACTGAATAAAGCACATGAGGTGTACCTAAGGTGATCATTGTAAGTCTTTTGTTGTTCAGCTGCAAGAAATAAGAGCCGTTTTTAAAATAGAAGTTTCAGGTGTTGTTTAGGACATAAAAAGAAAATTTTAGGACAAAAAATAGAAAATTTTCTATCGCATGCTGGCATTGTTTAGAACACATTTGAATCAGCCTTTGTTGGCGTCGTCAATCTGGCAACCTGCTCTTGTGTGAATTTTGAACCAGGGGTGCAATACCTAGTTCAACCACTGGGTGTTACATACCACACCTTTAAGTTCCCATTACAATATTATTATCAGTTATAAAAATATTGTTCAGTTTTTACTCTTTTCCTGGAAACACACTTGAATGTTGCTTGCACTATAATGTATAATGTTCATTTACAATGTAGGAAGTTTAATGTGATCTATAACTTGCAGCATGTCTTGTGTTCCACATACTGTACTTTAGTGTAATGTGACCTGAAATGTTAAAATCTGTTTCTGACTGTGCCATTATGTATATATCAGATTTTCTTGCTTTCATTTGCAGACAGCCCATCACAAAAGACACATTTCGGCAGTACAGAGTTTTGGGAAAAGGAGGCTTTGGAGAGGTGAGGATATTGTGAAAACCTGCACTGCGTACACAGAAATTTAAGTCTTTTCTAATTTACTCTTATAATAGGAACACTCTACCCAAACAGTGTTTAAGACATCACAAGTGTGCCTCTGACCAGTGTTGCCAACTATTTTAAAAAAAAAAAACTTGCTGAGCTCTGGCTGAAAAGTCGCTAGATTATACGTCAATTTGCATATTATTGACGTCATCACGGTCTACCGTTTCTGTTAGTTTAACAGCCCATGGTTAATAAAGGAGTATTTATATTTGCACTACGCTTTATGTATGCATGTCAATTTAACTTAACTTATTGCTGTTTGAATACAATATATCAATATAGATGTGTAGTTAATTTGCAGTAATCTCTTAGACGTAATAAACTCAAACAAGTTCCAAAACTGTCACGAAAATATCTGTGATTGTGAACAAGAAAAGAATAAACGGTCAAATTAAATTGTTAAAATAAAGGAGAAGCAGATCGGCTTGACTGTACAATTGAAATACCTCACACTCCCAGTGCTAAATCATTTGCTGTCGGTAGCAGAGGAGTGATCTGCTCTCAGGCTACAGGTGGGAAAGACTGCTATATGAGGACTGGGCTGCCTTTCAGTGCTCTGAGGGTGGGAGAAGCTGATGGCATCACCTGGAGCTCGTTGAGAACAGTAGGGACGGAACAGTATAGAGCAGGGGTCACCAACCCTGTTCCTGGAGAGCTACCTTCCTGCACATTTCAGTTGCAACCCTGACCAAACACATCTGTTTGTAATTATCAAGTGCTGCTTTAGGTACTATTAATTGGTTCTGGTGTGTTTGATCCGGGTTGGTACTAAATTCTGCAGGAAGGTAGCTCTACAGGAACAGGGTTGGTGATCCCTGGTATAGACACATGAGAGTCTTTAAAAATCTCCAGTAAAGCTGCAGTCACACTAGAGTTTAATAATGCGAAATTCTGTCGTGCGGCGCTGCGAAACGGGTGGGAATAAACAAGATTATTAGGCATTAAAAAAGCGAGTGATTGCTCCATGTTTTAAATTTCTATCCAGAGAGGTCATCTTTTGATCCTCGATTGGTCTCACGCAGTCAAGTGATGCGATTTTACAGGTCAGAGTTCACCAAGCTTGAACTTTGCACCGCAGCAACTTGCGAAACTAAGCGCATGACCCTGTGTTTCCGGGTTGACGCATTCGCGTGCGTATGAATGGAAGTCTATAGGGAGAAAAGTCAAGTGTGACCGTGACGTATCAAAATAAATTTGTAAAATTGTTGCTACGGGGGTCTGAAAAGTCGCTATAGTGACAAATTTACTAAGTTGGCAACACTGCCTCTGACGCAAAGGTTGTAGAAGAGTTGCTATTGATAAAACATTGTATTTTACTAAAAAACAGAATTGTTTTTTCAGTTGTTGCTAATGCACACATTAAATTCTGTTGTTTTATATCAAGTTTCTTTTGTGAGCATTATTTGTGCCTAGAAAGAGGTGAGAAATGAGTGGAGTCTATGGTCAGGAGTTTCTCGATTATTAAATCACAACACTGAAGTTAATTTCATTCGGACCAGCTTTCTATTGGTTAGCAGCACTGCATTTTTGTGTAACCAACTACAAATTCTGTGTGGGTTTTGCAAACATTTTCAACCTCAAACCGAACTCCCATTTGTGCAGATTCCTGTAAAAATGACTTAATATATTGTTTGTGAGATTTGTTTTTATTTATTTATTTGTGTTATGTATGCATGCTATTTTTAGTTAGATTGCTACCTTAAAATGTCACATTTAACATTGCTCGGGGAAATCCAATCATTTCAGTAGGAATCATAGACTGTATAATATGTGGATGTAGTATCCGTGACGTCACCCATAGGTTTCTGAAGAGCACGAATGAAGCAAAAAGTAGGTGTGGCCAAATGTTGCCATTTTGTTCGCATGTCATCACATCCACTGGTGGAGACCAAATAAGAGCAAAGAGGCGAAGCATGAGTGGACACCTGCTAGCATTTTGTTTTGACAGAGTTTTCTTAGAAAAACACTTAATACTTCATTATCTGCGACTCGATTGTGTTCTGACCTCATGTGCCTGGTTGTATACTATAGCAAAAAAATGTTTAATCTTTGAAAAACACTGTTGTAATACATTGAGTCATTAAATATTATTCTTAAGACGTTTTTCTACAGGAGGAAAACGCAAATTATGTCCAAATACTTCACATATAGTCTGTGCTAGTAAATGCAAGGCTATTTATGAATTCCAGGCATAAAACTGTATGGCAACATTTCAGATGACTGTTCTATAGTCTACAGCGAATTAATCTGTCAGATTCTGGAGTGCAATCAAGTTCTACAGAAAATTCTAAATGAAAGTAGTAAACGATAGAAATATCTTAAACAAATACATGTATAGAGATGGTATACAAGTAATTTCACTTACCTGGGAAATGGAGGCAACTTTAATGGTTTGTGAGCACAATTAAGTGCATGCAGCATGCCATATTATCTGATAATTGTAGGAAATAGTTCCTAGAAGCAACTGACTGTGTAAAGCCACATGCAACAAAACAAAATGCGATAAATATGCCGAGTTCAGCTGCTAATCAGCCCCGGTATCGGCTGAGGTGACAAGACCGCAAGCAGCGAGGGCTAGCTGTCACTCAAGTGGCCACACCCTTAATTATGCAGACTTAATAAAACTTAATAAAAATGAGTTATAAATGAGTTATAAAGAAATCACCCCCTCACAGTTGTCATGAAGGGTAATATCAGCTATATGCACCAAAACCATCTTTTGTACCAGGCTGTAAACATGTTATTATCAGCTGTAAAATTGGCCAGTTTACCAATGCTGTCAGAGAACATCTAGATTTCCTGGTGAAAGCCCCCAAAGGCGAGTCGATGAATTGCGGTTTTAGTTACTTCCGTATAGGCTTCACGAGGGAGAGCGGAAGGATGCCGCTTGCTAGGAATCTGTGCAAAAAAAATACCACGTCTGCAGATTTTACTCATGTTTGACTTGGTTTTGTGTGAATTGTGCTTCATACATCACTACACAGTTGATATATTGACACTTTTTGCCTTAAAATGCAGTGTACATGTCCATCTATACCTAGGTGTGTGCTTGCCAGGTGAGAGCAACAGGTAAAATGTATGCTTGTAAAAAGCTGGAGAAAAAAAGGATAAAGAAGAGGAAGGGGGAAGCCATGGCTCTGAATGAAAAACAGATTCTGGAGAAGGTCAACAGCAGGTTTGTGGTAAGATTTGTTCATTTTTCTTTCATATATTATTTATTTCATTTATTTTGGTCCTATTTATACTAGCTGTGATAATCCACCTTGTGCAGTCAGTCACCTTTACTTATATAGCAATGCAGTATGTTGTGTCATCATAGCCTTTAAGAGATGTGCAAGCAGTATTAGAAACTTTCATTTCGAGTCTTTTCAGTAGTGATTCAGTTCAGATCAATACAAATGTCTTTGTGAAAGGAACTCAAACTTCATTATTTGGCTGAAATTGAGAAGGAAAAATCAATCACAAGTTCCCAAACAGTGCAGACCCACGTTCATATTACGTGATAGCTTTCGTTTGTCCAGTACAGCCTTGCTAACAGATTGTCATCTCCCTGGTTCTTAGGTTAGTTTAGCATACGCATATGAGACCAAAGATGCTCTGTGTCTGGTGCTGACCATAATGAATGGTGGCGATCTGAAGTTTCATATCTATAACATGGGCACCCCAGGCTTCGAGAAGGAGCGTGTGCAGTTGTATGCTGCCGAGATCTGCTGTGGTCTAGAAGATCTGCACAGAGAGTCTATCATCTACAGGTGGGCATTTGAGAGACTTTACACCATGTTCAAATGCATTCATTCTCATAAAATGCTGATGGTATATCATTTTGTTTTGATGCTTTATTTCCTTCTAGGGATTTAAAGCCAGAGAATATACTTTTAGATGATAATGGTAAGTTGAAATAATTTTCATTAATTTACCAACCATTAATTTTTTTCAGAAAATCTGTATTTAGTTTAAGCATGTCCCAACTTTTTTTATTTTGTTTTGTTCTTGTTTTTCTACTGTGTCTCTATCTCTACAGGTCATATCCGAATCTCAGACCTGGGTCTGGCCATTAAAGTACCCGATGGAGAGCAAATTCGTGGCCGAGTGGGGACTGTGGGCTACATGGGTAATTATAATAATCTGTAAAATATTACAGTTGGGAAACACATTATTTTACAAAACAAAATATATATTATTGCCAAACGTTTTCATACATCCGTCTTTACATGCACATCCCAGTCTTAATTCATAGGGTTTGATATGGAGTTGGCCCACACTTTGCACTTATAATATGTGTGCAAAGTGTGTTTAGGGGAATTTTTGACCATTTTTCTAGAAGGCCTGTCTCTGCTTTAATTCATCCAAAAGATCGTGTTGAGGTGCAGGCCAGTAATATTCAAGCAGAGCTTTATTTTTTTATTTTGATTCTTGATTTTCCTTGTCTTTATCCAGTTCCATTTTGCACTGGCATGCAAGAGGCTTGCCATTTTGGCCATCCCCAAAATGTTCCTAAAACATTGGCAGCATCAAATTGTCCTGAAGCATTAAAGGGGTGGTCTACCATGTATTTTTAAGGCTTGATTGTGTTTATAAGATGCAAAGCAATGTGTGTTCATGCTTCACTTGTAGAAAATCAAGTAATTTTTTCATATATCTTACTTTAATTATATATTGCTACTCAGCAAACATGAAATGTCATATGTCCTAGTTTCTCTGAAGGACCCACCCTCAAGAGGCTCTGATTGGTTCGCTAACATAATGTGCTGTGATTCGCAGATTGGCTCCAAGTCACTACCTACAAGCGTGCACTTTTGGACTGTTTAAACAGTCCAGTCAGAGCAGCTGTTAGGAGCGTTAGCTACCCGAATCAGACAGAAATGAAGAGCACACAGCTCACGCCTGCTCTCTAAAATAAAATCTGACAAGTGTCTTTCACATATATTCGAAATAAGCGTATGTAAGTAATATAAAATGTTCACATATCTTTTGCGAATTTTTTGCATAGAGATACACTACAGCACTGCTGAAGATTGTGCCTGTTTACAGCGATTTGACTTATAAATATGAAATTGTAGCTAAATTGTTAGCGGTGCCAATCAGCAAGTCCTCGCTGCAACATACCATTAACGCTAGAAACTGTGCCTGTAGTTGATCAGTTTACAGGATTTGGCTCATAATCCACAGCTTCGACAGTTTGGAGGAGTTTTTAGCTCAATCCAGCACTGAACTGGGAGAGATTCTGGAAATTCTCCTTTGTCAAATGCTAGCGCTATATCTTTTTTTAATATAATTCTTTGGAACATAGTTAAAATTTAACTGAAAGCACTTCTTTCTTTGTGTCGTGTCTTTTGGAAATACAGAAACAAAACAAGCTTTGTGGAAATCGTAGCGTTTGGATGTCATTTTAGCTTTCTCTGCGACTCCATTATTGGGCCTCTAGCCACGCCCCTTCAATGCGCAGGGTGTGTGTGCAAGGTGAATGCATGTAACCGCAAGCCCATGTGATCTCAATAGCCTGAATGTATTTTATTGTAGTCCCCAAACTTCGTTCATTTTAGGCTTTGGTAAGTCAACTAAAAGGCAATGTCTCCCTTTGCATTGAACTTTGAGCGTATTACATTCAGAGATGCTGTTTATGTTCACACATTACACAAGAACTAAAGTTTAAAATATAATATCGTAGTGGACCACCCCTTTTAAAGGTCCTCTCTCTGGAACTGAGGATTCAAGACCAAGCTCCGAAACAACCCATTCCCTCTTCTAGAGCTAATCTGAAGGACACACAAAACTTGGAGGTCTAAAGCTATTGACTTTCCAGAAAGTTGGCAAACTCTTAGCACTGTGCAACCCCACTCTGTGGCATACCACTTTGTGGCTGAATTGCTTATAATTTGTTATGATCATGCTTAGTTGACCTTAGAATATTTATTAGTTAGGAAATTTCATTAATAGACTTTTTGCACAGGTGGATGCTTATCACAGTATCATGCTTTAATTCACTGAGATTGACTATTTCTTCACAAATGTTTATGAAACACCAGCATTCAATCATTTGGAGAGGTATTCCGAAACATTTGACAATGTAGTATGTGTTGTATAGTGATATTGAGTGGAACAGAAAAAAGCACAAAAAAAATCTCTTGTTTATAAACAATGCATTTAAAAAGTTAATAAACAAAGTTTTGATTTATAGGACCGTTAATTAATAAAAAAAAAGACAGAAAGTAAGCAAGGATTGATTAAGTTCACCATACCACAAATATTTATAATAAACAGTTTCATTTATTTTCATCAGGAAATCCTTTAGAAAAATATTGTGGTTTACAACATAGAAAATAGTAAGATTTTTTGAGCACCATACAATCAAACACATGCAGGCAATATAAATCTCAAGCAAAACTGCATTGCCCTTTTAGGATGCATTTTGGTGTCTATTTAACAAGATAATAAATTATTTACAGTATATTATTCTCTATTTCTGCTTTAAGAAGTTCATTCCTTTCTTTAAAGTAAGGATGCATTAACCAGGGGTGTCAAACTCAATTCCTGGAGGGCCGAAGCCCTGCACAGTTTAGTTCCAACCCTGCTCCAACACACTTACCTGTAGGTTTCAAACAAGCCTGAAGGACTCAATTAGTTTGATCAGGTGTGTTTAATTAGGGTTGGAACTAAACTGTGCAGAGCTGCGGCCCTTTTGGAACTGAGTTTGACAGCTGTGCATTAAACGAACGCCAAAAAAAGCCAATAAAGAATTTCAGTTTTTTTTTTCAACACTTTAATTTATATTAATTAAAGAATCCTTATAAAATGTTTTGTATTTACCTACAAATATATGAAGCAGTTTTAACATTGAAGTAATCAATGTTTTTAAACACCAACCAAGCATGTTAGCTTTTTTTTTAAGGATTATATGTCTCTCAAGACTTTAGTAAAAGTTGTTGAAAATCCAGCTTGGTCATTTAAGGAATAAATTTATTTATTTATATGAACTAAAGTTACTTAATGAAACTCTTTTTGTCTATTCTAGAACGTATGAAACATTAAAATGTTGTTTGTTGATTGATAAACTCAAATTGTATTGATGGACAGCTCCAGAGGTGATCAATAACGAGCGGTATAGCATGAGCCCTGACTGGTGGGGGTTGGGTTGCCTGATCTATGAGATGACTGCTGGTCGATCGCCTTTCCGAGCTCGCAAAGAGCGAGTAAAGAGAGAAGACGTGGAGAAGAGGGTGCAGGAGGAGGAAGAAGAGTACAGTGACAAGTTTTCAGAAGACACCAAAGCCATCTGCAGGATGGTGAGGTCACACACACACACAAAACATGCTGGTCAAGTTTTTTTTTGCACCATTATCTTGTCAGTCAGACCCGACACAGAAGCTGATTTAGAGTCCACTAAATAAGCCCACAAAACTAGTGAAGGGGAAACATCTGATAATGTTCTCCCTGAAATCATTTTTAAAAATCAAATTGCATTCTGTCATGTTGCTAGTTTAATGCTAATCTAAAATGAAAGAGTGCATCTGTCTCATGGTGCTTTTAAACCATAACATGTATTTTTTGAAAGAGATTTGAAAGTTAGCAAGAAGCCTTAAGATGACAATTGACCCTTCGCTAAGTCCTGCCCTGCTTACTTACTGTTGTTACGTCTGTCAAGCTTTCATGTCTGGCACGTCTATTACAATATGTACGCGCCGGTGTCAGACATTCCCAGGGATATAATTAGTCATTTTTGGTAAACAGGTGAGATGTCTGAGAAAGCCAGACATAAAGGACTACAGTATGCATTACAGGTGTATGTACATGACATAATACGCAACTGATTAGAAAATAATTTAGGGTACTTTCACACCTGTGAATTGATTCAGTTGTTCCGAAACAGAGACTACAATTGTTACATTGTTGCTCTTTGCTCTTAGAGCGGTTCGCTTTCACATTGCAAAGTTTCTAAACGGACCAAAAGAGCTAAAACAAGTCACTTGCGAGTAAACTCTCCTTACATTGGTCAGAGTTTTGCAGCGTCCCGCTAAGCTGTCAGGAGAGGTGGTGGTTTGATGGTGATTGACAGAGTGGGCGCGCGATGTGTCTGAGGAGAGATGCGGTGGGGAGGGGTGAGAAGGGTGCGCGACGTAGCCTATTTGAGGACCGGGAGGGAGACGTGAGATTACCAGGGGATCATCACTCGTTTGCGGGCATCCGGAGACTCGCGAAACTTCCCGCCATACTCATAATTCTCTCTTCTTATAGCCGTATGCCTCTTACATATCCATAAAACACTGTGATATAACCGCGCTCGGATCGGATCGCTTTCTCACTGCAATCGAACCGCTCCAGGGTTCGTTTCAATCGAGCCGAGACCACCTCATTCAAGCGATCTCGGAGCGATTACTTTTATCGCGGAACAGAGCGCGATTGCCCGTTTCACATATGACAGACGAATCGGGCTAAATGGGCAATCGAGACACGTTCTGAAACAAATGTGTAGGTGTGAAAGCACCCTTAATCAAAATTGAAGCTAGGTTAGCCTAGCCGCCTCATACTATGACCATTCAACAGCTTCGGTGCATGCACCGCAGAATAGGTGAAAAGATAATCTAATAATAACTAATTAACCCGTGACTTATCTTTTTCTAGCCAAAAAAACAGGTAGACTAATTGTTGTGCAATGAAATGTATTGTTACTAACCGGCAAAGAAACACGCATGGACAGTGCTTCAACATAATTCATTTATTGATTAAAAAGGCTATCCCAGAGATGGGTTGCGGCTGGAAGGGCATCTGCTGCGTAAAAACTTGCTGGATAAGTTGGCGGTTCATTCTGCTGTGGCGACCCCGGATTAATAAAGGGACTAAGCCTACAAGAAAATGATTGAATGAATGAATCATTAAAAAGGCCAAAAGGGGGAAATTGATGGCATCATCATTATCAAATTATCATCAAATATTTGCATAATTGGACCCATAACAATGTACAGTACCTAAAACTGTCAGTAGGTCTGTGCGCTTTTTATACAGTTTCTATTCTAATTTGCAGTTACGTGTAAAAAAAATTTATAAATTGAAATGCAAATCAAAGTATAAACAGCAGAAGTGAACAAATAGATTTTCCTTATCAGCAAATATTAATCCGACACTAAATATAAAAGCAGACACTAACCCGCTATAACACCATCACCAATGACTAAATCTCTAAAAGACAGACGAAAACATCGGTGAATTGTAGCTCTGACATGGGAGTTACTGAGAAAAAGCTGCGGGTGTTTGCTCAGTTTGTGATCACATCTCGGTTTTGTTCTGTTAATATGTAATTTCAAATATTTATAGCTTGAAACAGATGAAAATATGACTGGATTCTGCTCGCTCTTACAGCTATTATCGCTAAAACGAAGTAGTGGTCATAACATTAAGCAAAAAAAAAAAAAAAAAAGACCCTTTTTAATCCACTTAACCCCGCTCTTTTAGTGCCCCTTGCACAGCTTAATCTACGCTGGGATTTCTCCCCTTGGGTTTTAGGTTTGGGAAAGGGAAAGAAAATCCACCACCCCATCCAAATTTCTAGGATACCAGGTATCAGATTTGCACAATCCATATTCATCAGGAATCCTTAAAAAATATCAGGGAGTCCACAAATGCATTAACCTTCCCCAGTCTTGTGCTTCGAGACAATCCTGTCTTAGAGGTCTACAGACAATTCCTTTGTCTTCCTGCTTGGTTTGTGCTTTGACATGGACTGTAAACCCTGCGGCCTTATATAGACAGGTGTAGGCCTTTTCAAATCATGTCCAATCAACTGACTTTACCACAGGTGAACTATAATTAAGCTACTGAAACAACTCAAGACTGATCAGTGGAAACAGAATGTACCTGAGCTCAATTTAGAGCTTCACAGCAAAGGCTGTGAGTACTTTTGTACATGTGAGTTTTCAGGTTTTTTATTTTTAATAAATTTGCAACAGTTTAAAAAAAAAAAAAAAATCACATTGTCATTATGCGGTATTGTGTGTGGAATTTTGAGGAAATATATCAATTTAATCCATTTTGAAATAAAGCTGTAACAAAACAAATGTGAAAAAAGTGAAGCGCAATGAATACTTTCCGGATGCACTGTATGTTACATGCTGCTTTCAAAGAATATATAAACCCTTTCATAATGTGCTGTTGTGGTTTACCTCTTATCCCACAGCTGTTATCCAAAGATCCCAAGCAGAGGCTCGGCTGTCAGACGGACAGAGCTTCTGGAGTCAAAGCCCATCCTTTCTTCAAGAACATCAACTTCAAGAGACTAGAGGCTGGCATTTTGGAACCTTCATTTGTGCCTGACGTGAGTTTTATATCAAGATTGACAAACTGTTCTTTGTGAGCTCACAATTGTCTTCTTGATTTAAATAATGAATCCGCACAGGTTAATCTAGAGACATTAAAAACACTTTGTAAGCTTTAATCAAAAACTAAAAATTTGCATGTGGTCTGGATTGGTATTTCTTCTCTAATGACAGCAGTCTGAGGGCTTGGACAGACTGTTAGTTTGTTGTGAGGAGATGGTGAGGAGGATAGCTCAAACAAAACTCCACTTTCTGTTCAGTATTCCGGAAGTAAACAGAAACTTTTGACATTATGACACAATAGCATAATATCTATAAAATAATGATACGGATTCCAATAATAATTAAGGGTGTCACGATCCTCCAAATCCTCGATTCGATTACATTTTCGATTCTAAAGGCACGATTTGATTCAATTTTCGATTATGAATAAGTAATTAATTAATGACCAATTAATTATTTGTAGCCTACCATTTGAACTACCTGACGTGCATGGTCTTTGTTTTACCCATAAACCAATCATACAGTAAATGAATAGGCAAGATAAGTAATGATAAAGGCAAGATACACACATAATTACCAAGTGTCAATCACTTTTTCTGCGGGACTCGTGAATAGGCAGTGATCTGTGACGTTATAATGGCGTCGGTAAAAAAGATGCACAACCAACGGGAACCAGCCAACAGTATCTGAGGTGTTCGCTAAAATGACTAAGTAGAAGTGAGTGAAAGATTGAAGCAGTCCTCTGACTGCCTGGACCTGCTGTCTCGAGCGCATGGCTGTGTGCGTCTGTGTGGTCACGTGATGTGCATATTCAGAAGTAGAGAGGAAAGAGGGCTGCTCAGAAATGCTACACGCCACTGTGGATGTCAAATCGTTGTCGTTCTAAAATGCCATTTAAAAACAAAGACAGTGTAAACAGGGCCTGAGTGTGTACTTTTCGCAAGCGGATTTGCAACGGGGGCGGGCGGAGGATCGCGATGCCGGTGTTGTCTATCGGACGAACCCTACGTAATACGTACATAGCAGAGCTTGCAAAACTGTGTTTTTTTTGTCGACAACACGAACGTTGTCAACATAACTCACAGGAAATCCAAAATGCTTACACACCGGCGACTTCATTGAAAGAGGAGAGGGTTTAAGTTCTGTCGACGGGTCTCCTGCTTCTGCAGTTTAACAAGCACTTCAACAAGCCAGTTTTTTTCGCGCTTGACAAGCCAAGCTGACGTGACATGGGGGCGTGGCACCATCCACGATTCTATTTTTTGATTCGATAATCGAAATTGAGCATAAATTTCGATCGATTTTGATTTAAAATTGAAATCGTGACACCCCTAATAATAATGTAGTTTAATACAGTGATGGTTGAATCAAGTTGCTTCAGTCGAGCAAGAATTCATGGTCAGTTATAACTAACAGTATAAAAGTGATAACGCATACTTAAAACCAAGTATATAAAGATCCATGATACACGTAAACACAACTTTTTTGATCACCATCGCCATTGTGGCTAGTAGTTTTCCAATGTTACTAGCCCTTCGCCATTTTTACCAGCCAAAATTTTGTTGTTGGGAAAATATATTTTAAATGCATAAATTTGACTTTGGCATGCTAAAAATTACTATTTAAAAAATTTTGTGTTATGTCCACATGCCTCCTCATTAATTTAACTTTCTTTCTTTATTTTAAATGACTTTTTAGGGCTCAATACTAAGGATTTACCATTTTTTCTCTGGCCACACCAAACTGATTATTTGCTTGCCACAAATTTTAAATAATGTGTCAAAACTAGCTAAATAAAGCTGTACATATACACTTTTTATTCAACAAAATTGTTTTGAAAAAAAACAACAACTGACATTTAAAAAAAATATTCTCATTAATTTATAACTATACACAGCAGTCTGTCCAGGCTAAAGGTCCCAGATCATCAGGTAACTATAGATAAATGGAGAGTTAATCCTCCAGTAAAGCAAAGTTATTGTAAAGGATGATAATTAAACCATTATAACAAAAAAAAACTGCAAGCAAAAGAAAGCAGCTGAAAAACATTCTTTGTGCGATAGTGAAAGGATGATCATGGTCACACAGTTAACGTTAGGCCCAGTAAGCTGCAACCGCAAAAAAATCTGTAGATGTGTTAAAAGTAGCAGGACTGTGGGTGCTCGAGCACTGCATTTTCCCAATCTATTTCAAAGAGAAACGATAACACCAGTTGCGTTTCCAGGCACCGTTGTTTTGCGCAAGGAAACGGAAGCTTTTAAGCACTCGCGTGCATCACATCAGCTGTGCAAGCGCCACGTCGTCAGTACATCTCTCACCATGTGCCTGATCATCCTCTTATTCGGTATTCCCCTTTCTTTTGCTAGCATGAACACTTATCAATCATGCTGCTTCTCCATTCTAAATGCCCCGTTTACATTCCCAGTTAAATGTGAACCAATTCAGATTTTTTGCTCATATGTGACACAGATCGGATCTGTTCTATGACCATGTAAACACGAAAAAAAAAAATAACAGCATGCATTTGGATATTCAGAGATCGATTTCAGGCCTCCTCCATATGTGGAAATAAATCAGATATAAATCAGATATTTAACAATGCGACTATTATGTATACAGGCAGATCGGATTTATTGAGGCATTCCATTTTGTACATCATTAAACTTGCGACAATGTGGTGCTTCTCCAGCGGTTTTTATGACATAGAAGGAAAAGCGTGTGTGGAGGCGCTGACACGGTAAACAACAACAGAGAAAATATGGAGAAGGAAAGTGGTCAGTCGCCACAATTTGCTCCCACCAGACCTGAGATATCTCTCGTACCCATAAATTCCTTTGAATGGTGGAGCACATCATATATTCACCACCTTTACGCATGTGCGACGTCGAAAATTATATAGCAAGTGTAAAGACGTGAATCAGATATGGATCACAATTAAAAGAACGTGTAAACACAGGCAAAAAAAATCAGCTTTTGTCAACAAATCGGAATTGGGCATCAAGACCTGACAGTGTAAACGGGGCCTAAGAGCACATTTGAATGCATATTTACAAACGGCCTTTAACTTAAACTCTAATCTTTAGTGATAAGGCAGCTCTTTTCAACCAGCCAAAGTGGTTTGTGGGGATGGCTGTCTAACCTGCCACAGCTGAAATCTACTAGCATTTGGTGGGTTGACAGGTGTTAATGTCAAGCCCTGGGTACTGTAGTAATTGTTACACTTATTTATTTTTTTGTGAACTTTGGATAATTTAGAGCCCTTAAAATGTATGAAATATGATACAGTTGACAGTTTCTGTATTGTGTTATTCATGAGTGTTTTCTTTTTATTATGTTTCAAATTAAAACAAACTCACTTTTTTGCTCTGACTACAGTTCATGTTTAAAAGTAGAAATGTATTGACAATTTTAATAGACTTAATTTATATATTGTCTGGGTTGGTCATGTAAATATTGATAAAACTACACATAAACAGTGCACTTCCTTTTAAAAACTAAATATATTTATCAGTGAATAAAATCTATACATATTTTGTGCTTTTAAATGAAATGGTTTTATTCAACCAGGGGTCCTCAACCCTGTTCCTGAAGATCTACCTTCCTGCAGAGATTAGCTCCAACCCTGATTAAACATCACTAAATGAACTAAGTTGGATCTGAAGAAGCCCTTGGTAATTAAAAACAGGTGTGTTTGATCAAGGTTGCAGCTGAAGTCTGCAGGAAGGTAGATCTCCAGGAACAAGGTTGGGCACTCCTGTTTTTAACAGTTCCATTAAAATAAGAGTTTGGACACCTATTATCTTTTGGAATAGAAAAAAAAAGATATTTTTATGCTTCTCGTAATGTTTTCCTTAAAATATATATTACAAATTAATTTAGTTGTACAAATTTTTTTGACTCTTATGTTTCAGTTTTGGCTTTGGTACTGACTAATCAGTGCACAAATATATTACTGTAATGCATCCTATAGAAAATATTAGTTTAAAAGTCTGACCTGTGAGGAGTGTACTCGTGTATATATGTCCATTTGAAGTCAAAATTTATTAGCCCCCCTTTACATTTTTTCCCCAATATCTGTTTAGCAGAAAAAAAAGAAAAATTTTCAACACAGTTTGGAACATAATAGTTTAAAGAACTGATTTCTCTTTGCCATGATGATAGTACATAATAATTTACTATATATTTTTCAAGATACCAACATTCAGCTTAAACTGACATTTAAAGGCTTAACTAAGTTAATTATGTAAGTAAGAGTAATTAGGCAATTCATTGTATATTTATGGTTTGTTCTGTAGACAATCAAAAAAGCAGGGCTAATAAGGCTGACCTTAAAAAATTTAAACTGCATTTATTCTTGCCAAAATAAAACAATTTATGCTTTGTTTGTTTGTTTATTTATATAGCACTTCTCACAATGTAGATTGTGTCAAAGCAGCTTAACATAGTAAAGTAAAGTCCAGAATTCAGAGTTTAAGTTTAGTTTAGTTCAATGTGATTTAAATTTCACTGCTGAAAGTTGAACACTGTAAATCTCTGTTGGGCGCGACCATTATTCTTCTGGCCAAACTTCCCATGCGGAGCTGCAGTCTATGCGCCAGAGCCTGGAAAAGCTGGATGTCAATCGTAGTGAAGCTGCAGGGCTGAGTAGGGCACCGGCGGGAGGTCAGGCTTGTCCACATGATCAATGTGGGGACTTGTCATGGTGGTCTCTCAGGAATGCACTCCATTCCTCCATGATGGGATTATGGATACTTTGGGATCATCTCCTTGCAGGTCTTGGATCACATCAATGGTGCTACGTAGTCTCTACGGACCTCAGAATGAGTATGCCCAGGTGGACATAGAGAATAAAAAATATTTAGCATAGCTGAAGTTCATTGTATATTTAAACAAGATGCAAAAACAAATTATAACTATAAAATAATAATAATTGAGAATAGCACTTATATAAACAAACAGAAACAAACATGTAAAGCATATGAGGCGGTTGTCAAGCCAGTTCACCTGCGTGAAGCATATGATATGTGATGCATTGTGTGTATGATCAACTAAAAAGATAGGTCTTTAATCTAGTTTTGAACTGAGAAAATGAGTCTGAGCCTCGGCCATTATCATGAAGGCTATTCAAGAGTTTAGAAGCCATAAATGAGAAGACTCGACCTCCTTTACTCGACTTTGTGATTCTACGTACTATCAGATGCCCTGAGTTTTGACATCTTTAAGAGCTAGTTGTATTGTAGCGAGACAGAAGGTTGGTTTGATAATCAGGAGCTAGATTATTTAAAGCTTTATAGGTAAGAAGCAATATTTTATAATCGATACGGAACTTAACAGGCAGCCAGTGTAAGGAGGATAAAATTGGGGTGATATGATCATATTTTCTGCACCTGGGAAGAACTCTGACATCAACGTTTTGTACTAGATAAGGTTTATTAATAGAGGATGCTGAGCAACCAGCGAACAGAGCAATACAGTAATCCAATCTAGAAGTCATAAAAGCATGAACTAGTTTTTCTGCATCTGAGATGGATAGCATACTTTCTAACTTGTAACGATATTTCTCAGATGAAAGAAGGTGGGTTTTGTGACATGGGAGATATGATTTTCAAAAGTTAAGTTGCTGTCTAATATGACAACCAGATCTTTTACAGTAGAGCTAACGCTAACTTTGTATCCCCATAATTGCAGGTCAAGTTGTGAGATCCGCTGTGTACAGGATTTAGGCCCAATAAGTAATAAATATGTTAACAATTAAGACTTTCTTTAGAAAGAAAATAATTATAGGAAATGCTGTGAAGAAAAATCCTTGCTCTGTTAAAAATAATTTGGAAATATTTGAAAATTAAAAAAAAAAAATCACAGGAGGCTAATAAATTAAATTTTAACTACATGTCTATTTATAAACAACTTTGTGGTTTAAGTCCCTTACTGCTATGGTATTCATTTTTGTCCCATCTGGTTTCATAGCCCAGGGCCGTCTACTGTAAAGATGTTTTGGACATTGAGCAGTTCTCCACCGTTAAGGGTGTCAACCTGGACCAAACAGACAATGATTTTTACTCGAAGTTTGCCACTGGCAGTGTCTCCATCCCATGGCAAAATGAGGTATGAAGCCTTACTAGGACTTCTGCTGCTTTGTTTTTTGTTTTATTTTTTTAAATATGATTTTGTACAGCTGTTAACATTGTTATTAACTATATTTGCATAACTGAAAGTTATTGTCACTGCATTGTCAATAATGTTTTCTAATTCTCCCCCCTGTTACAGATGATTGAAACAGAGTGCTTTAATGACCTTAATGTATTCGGGCCACAAGGGACACGGCCTCCTGACCTGGATTGGAACCAGCCTCCTGAGCCTCCTCGGCGTAGCCTGCTGGACAGGATCTTTAGGAGACATGTGAGGATCTCCTCCACCTCCACCACAGAGGAACACCCCAGAGAACAGAGTAGTTAACTACAGACCAGGTCAAACACCACATCAGGACATCACACTCTCACACATATAGAGCAGAGCAACAAGGTTCAGCCTGAAGCACTGTACACAGGGCATAGAATTACATCACTCAAATCACTCAAATTAGTACATACTTTTCTGTGTTTCATATTTGTTTAAACCATGGATCACTGACTCTATTTCTGTGATTATTGTTTATTTATTTGTAGTTTTCACTATATATCATATTGGCCACAAATCTGTATTCGGCATTACTCCTGACTATATCAACATACACCACTTTATTAGGTACACCTTACTAGTACCGGGTTGGACCCCTTTTTGCCTTTAGAACTGCCCTAATTCTTCGTGGCATAGATTAAACAAGGTACTAGAAATGTTCCTCTGAGATTGTAGTCCATATTGACTTGATAGCATCCTGCAGTTGCTGCAGATTTGTCATCTGCACATCCATGATGCCAATCTCCCATTCCAACACATCTCAAAAGTGCTCTATTGCAGTGGTCCCCAACCCACCGGGCTCAATCAGTACCGGGCCGCACAAGAATGAATTATCTTTAAGTTGGCAGATAAAGTAGCTGCATTTAAAGCCAAACTGGATTTGTGGGGACGGCGAGTGAACAGAGTCATATTGGATTTGCATATGTGTGTGTGCAGGCGCTCACGGGCACACGCAAAGCTTGAAGGTAAACAAACAACGGCTTATCATAAGCATCTTATCAATGATTATTTACACGGTTGGCATTAAGATAAACATATAAACGTTATCTGCCTAATTTCTAGCACCTGAATGTGTCTGGAAAAATTTATTCTCATAAGCCGCGCGAACGTGCATGCGTCTGACTGTTCTGATTGGCTAAAGCAGATGTCTCACGTCAGCACGTTCTAGACGTGCACACGCTTTTTCCGACAATCTTCCTCTGCGTTTACTCAGCGCAGCATTCCGGCAAATTACCGGTAATGTTACAACTTCTCTTTCCGGAAAATAGCCAGAACGAATTTACCAATACTTTTAAAAAGGCCCTGTTCACACATACACACCTTTCTGGAAAATTGTCGGTAATTTTCCGGAAAGGTCTGTATGTGTGAAAGGGGCTTTTGTCTGCCATTACCCCCAGATGGGACCATCTCGTTGCAAAGAAACAAGCTCAGGGCTCCTATTGATTTAGTGTTACGGACAGTTTTTGATGTTATAATATGTTATATTGTTGGAGCAATGTGTTAATAAAGTTATTACCTCCTAATGTTAGAATAGCATTGTAATGTTGGAGCAATGTGCTAATAAAGCTCCATATGTCTGAGTACACAGTGGATTCATGTTTATTATTATTATTATTATTTCAACCCCCCGGTCCGCAGTAAAATTGTCAAGCGTTGACCGGTCCGCAGTTAGAAAAAGGTTGGGGACCAATGCTCTATTGAGATCTGGTGATTGTGGAGGTCATTTGAGTACAGCGTTATGTTTAAGAAACCAGTCTAAGATGATTTGCGCTTTATGAAATGGTGTGTTATCCTGCTGGAAGTAGCCATCAGAAGATGGGCACACTATGGTCATAAAGGGATGAACATGGTCAGCAACAATACTCAAGTAGGCTGTGGCGTTGACACGATCTTCAATTGGTACTAATGGGCCTAAAGTGTGCCAAGAAAATATCCCTTACACCATTACACCTCTACCAGCCTGAACCGTTGATACAAGGCAGGATGGATCAATGCTTTCATGTTGTTGACACCAAATTCTGACCCTACCATCCAAGTGCCACAGCAGAAATCGAGACTCCTTAGATCAGGCTACGTTTTTCCAATCTTCAATAGACGGATTTTACGCGGCCACCATTTTAAACAGCAAAATCGAGGCTGCGGTGGGAAGAGACCTGAAAGTATCACTTGAGTCACAGAGGAATGTAATGTATCAGGATGTATATATTTTCAGCGAAAAGAAAGTGACACTAATGTATAATTTCATCGCCTTCCAAGTGACCTGACGGTCCGTTCTGAATAAATAGTGACAATAAAAAGGGATATTGGACCTCATTTACACCTACGTTCAGGGAAATGGCAATAGTTGGCTAACGTTTTCTTTCCCAAACACACATTTTAGATGCCATTTATCAAACTCAAGTTAATGAACTGACTCTTTCACTATATTAGACTTGTCATAAAACAAAATTTCGGTATTGAAATGTAAAAAAGGTCCATTTCCCATTAACATTTAAGTACTGTAAATGGCGTTCCAAAACAGCACTGATTTGTCATTGTGTTCATGTGCTCATCAGAAATGACTGTGATTGGCCGAGAAGGTCATCAGTTCACCCCACCGCTGTTTACCAAGTGCAAACTCAGACGAGTGATCCGCTGATGAATCGACTGATCTTCACGGCTTTAAAACTATGCAATGTCCGTCTATCTGTTTGCAATCTGTGAAGAGCGATGAACTGATTACCTTCACAGCCAATCACAGTCATTTCTGTTGAGCACTGGAGAATACTATGGCAAATCAGCAGTGTTTATAAACGTGCTCAACGGCACTGAAAGGTTAGCGGGAAAGTGACGTTTTTAAAAGATCGGTACTGGGACAACACTGTTACAAAACGAGGATGTGCTACAGAGGACTGCATTGTTTTTTCGCTCACCGGGTTACATAGACTGAAGCAGGAAAGCGTCCCCACTGTGTTTACCTGCTGCTAAGAAACCTAGGAGGACACTTGAGCGTATTACCCCTAAAGAGATTGTGATGTTGTTTGATGCCTAATATACTTTCAATTGTTTAAATTAAACTGAACTGAATGAAATTAAAGTGATGTTTACACCATTTCTGCATTTTGAAATCGCAGCAACAGCTGGAGGTTTGTAGTACACAAATAAGCATATTGTCCTGTTTTGGTGAGCCAGGGCAAATTTCAGTTTGTTCTTAGCTGATAGGATCTGTTTTGCATTCAGAGATGCTCTTCAACATAGCTCTGTTGTAACAAGTGGTTATTTGAGTTACTGTTGCCGTTCTATTAGCTCAAACCAGTCTGGCCATTCTCATCAATAAGGCATTTGTGCCCAAAGAACTTCTGCTCACTGCATATTTTCTCTTTTTCAGACTATTCTCTTTAAACCCTAGAGATGGTTGTATATGAAAATTCTAGTAGATCAGCAGTTTCTGAAATACTCAGACCAGAACAACAATGCCACGTTCAAAGTCGATTAAATCACCTTTCTTCCCCATTCTAATGCTCAGTTTGAACTGCAGCAGATTGTCTTGACCACGTCTACATGCCTAAATGCACTGAGTTGCTGCCATATGATTGGCTGATTAGAAATTAGCATTTACAAGCAGTTGCACGGTTGTACCTAATAAAGTGGCTGGTGAGTGTATTTTACACATACTTATATAATGTACCTTCCCTGAATTATTGTAACAGAAATCAGTCCAATATGCTGATTTGGGGCTCAATAAACAGTTCTTAATTTTAATGCTGAAAACAAATGTGTAAGTTGGCATTTCATCAACTTAGAATTATAAGGTTCTGTCTGACATTTTGGTCAAAACAGAGTTATTGACATATTCTTATTAAATGACAACTTATTTTCATTATGGGATGTTTTTTATAAGTTGTTTACATTTTTGGACTTTTGTATATTAAAAACAAATGTTACACACATACTGTTTGCTATGCAAAAGCTTTGAAGCTCAGTATCTCAAAATCATTCAGAATGCAGATAGAACCTAATAATTCCAAGGTGACAATATGTATTTGAAACAGAAATCTGATTTATTGTCACATTTGATCCATTGAACGCATCCTTGTGGTATCAGAGAATCAAGAAAAGACATATAGACTACTCTATTTTAAATGGCAGCATCAAATACCTACTTTAAACTACCTTTAGTACCCAATTGCATTTAATGTTGTTGGCTAGATGCAATTAAGATCTTTGTTGTTAGGAAAAACCCATATCTGGCAGACACAACTGGACTAAACTAAAAAGCATCATCATGAAACACATTTCTAAAAAAAAAAAATATTTATCTATTGCTGGAGAAACATAGATAAGAGCGTTTTTATATATATATATATATATATATATATATATATATATATATATATATATATATATATATATATATATATATATATATATATAATAAAATGATTAATAAGAAAATATTCTACCTAATATGCATTGTGTGTGTTAAGTCTCAGTCCTGATTTGCATATGCATGTGAAAGAGCATGAATATAACAGCACTAACATTTTTTTTTCATAACTGTCTTTACTTTTTAGCGTCCAGAGGTGACCATCACTCAAAGTCGGGTCTTGTCTTCCAGCGTCAACTCTGTTGACTCCGTGACAAACTCTGCCCCCTAGTGGAAAGATTGCTGTGGGACTACAGTGATCAAAAATGCCTGAGTGATATTGTAAGGAGTGAATCCGTATGAGGAACTCGCCTGCTCTTAAAGACCAGTCAAAAGAGAGTGGAAGCACCTGTTTTCCTTGCTGGGCCCACACTATCCATCCACGGCACTCCAGGAGAACAGGAGCAAATCAACTCCCATTTAAAGCTCGTTATCTATCCGTTTAATGACAGCAAGGTTTATTCCTTCACCTTCACCTTCAGGAGCGCTGGAACAGTGAAGAGCCACTGACAATGACAGAATTTTAACTTGTATTATTCAGGGGATTTTATTGACAAAGAGAGGCCTCAACAGGGAATGGGATGGGGTCTCTTTAAATTTTTTTTTACTAAGGAATTATAAAATATAAGACTACACACACACACACACACACACACTCATTTACTCCACCATTCTTTCAGTGATGCCTGCCTGCTCATTTTTTCTTGCAACACTTCCAACCTCAACCCAAATTACCTAGCATACTCTTAGGCCAAAGAATTTAGGAGCTTCTAAAGGAAAGACGTGAGTATTTGAATAACTGTTGAGATTTTTTTGATTAAGAAAGTCCTAAAAGCACAAGGAAATAGGAACTTGTCATCTACAAATTATGTGATATCACTGAAAAAGTCCACTGAAGGCCTCCATCCAATTATCTCAAATCTCTTCTGCTCAGTGTGTTATACAATACATGTTCAAAAGCTAGAATTATCTCAGTATGGTTACTTCCTTTGTGCTTAAAGGGCCTTGGCAGTTCTGAAGGGTAGAGCCATCAAAGGGTGTGGTGTATTTATTTGGGTGACTAGCCTTCTATTAGCACATAGCTAAAATATTTACAGCACAACGAGTTAGTCAGGGAGTCCTTCTTATCGCTTGGTATTAACAACAAGTAGCACTTTTAGCTTATTTACTGAAAGTTAGCCATTTAAAATGATTTCTTCAGCTTTCACTGGCATTACGATGCTGATTATGGGATGTTGCTGGACTATTCAACCTAAGCTACTTTTGCCGCTGTGAAAATGACATACAAAATTGTATCATGGCAGCTCCAAGAGCATGCTTTCTTCTATAATTCAACCACTAAACTAAAACTGACCCCACTTTACGCACACATATATACATACAGTACACCAGACACGTGCAATTTCATACCTCAGCAGCAGTTTTATCTTATGTTTTCAGTTTGTAATCAGATGCTTGTAGGAAGATATTTAATTTATCTCCCCCGACTTTAAGTGTACTGAATTAAATGTACTAATTGGAACACACCGCCCTGATATAGGCTATGTGACATCTGTAGAGAATATTTGATAGTTTTGTAATGTTCAAATGTTTCTTTATGTAATGGACAGTTTATTAGTATCCAAACAGAGTGACTCAAGAAGGAACAGAGTATATTGCTTTTACAATGCCATTCCAAGGTATTTATATGCCTCAGTTCTTAAGATAAGGTATAATCAAGTTTATCAAAATGGCTCGAAAGTATGTGTGCTAAGTGCCATGTTAATTTCAGTCATTAATCTGATGTGTGTTCTATAATGATGCTAAATATTTTATTAGTTGATTCTAGCACTCTAAATTGTAAGATTTGATCTATGGAAACATAAAGGGAAGGTTTTTTTTTCCAACATACTCCTAAAAGGATGGAAATTTGAGTCGAATTTGAGTCAAACGGAAAACTATAATTGTTAGTGTAATTTAAAGGGGAAAAGGTTGTCAATTAAATACCCACTGGTTTCAACTTTACTTGTATTTCTCCATTGCACCACTGAAGAAATTCAACAGCTAAAATAAAAAAAGAATGGTGAAACTTTACAAAAACAGCTTATTGTTTGCTTATTGTTTCACCTGTGCAACAGTGTAACGAATATGTAATTACTGCATAAAAGGGAACCAACCTTTAAAACTATGACCAAACTTAAAGGGAAATTAAGTAGTATATATTTGATGAGAAGAATCAATAAGATTTTTTTGTAGAACTCATGAAGTGAGTACATACTTGAGAAAAAAACAAAACAAAACAATGAAGTGCCTCCTTTTTTAGTAGTCTAGTCCAGGTTAGTGCCCATGATGTGGTTTGCACTTTGTCACTTCAGTCATTCTCACAATGTAAACTTGCACACGCACAACACATTTTAAAGAAAGGTGTTCACTGATTGCATGTAAAGCCAATCTTGACAAAGTCCTTCTGAATAAAACCTGTGCTGGCCTGAACATACCCGTGTAGTTTTTTGTACAATTTTATTTTTAGGAAATTGAGAATGTCTTGACAATATACAGGGGTTGGACAATGAAACTGAAACACTGGCCAATTTAATATTCAAACTTTTATGGCTAAATTTGACCAGCCTAGTGGCCGATCTTCGTTGACTGCACATTCCACCAGTAAGAGCACAGTTTTGCTTAAAATATCAAAACCAGAATCAATTTTAAGTGTGCTTTACACACACAAGGAATTTGTTTTGGGTACAGAAACTTCCAGTTTACATAAAATGACAAGTTACAACATGAAAATAAATTTGAGAAAATAAGACAAACATTAAACATGCAATAAGACAAAAGAGATCTGGATGTTGAATTGTATGTACAGATTTGTTATAAATATACAAGTTATGAGGTGCTTTGTACAAATGCGTGTAAGAAAGTATTGCATTGTATATTGTAATAAGAACAATATTGTAATGCTCTCAACATTATGGGTGAGATTTCGAAGTGCACAAGTGGACAAATTGTTGGTGCGTGTGTAACTCCGTCTGTCCTATGCCACCCAACCCGCACTGAGCTGGTATTGAACCAGCGACCTTCCGCATGGGAGTCAGTTGCTCTACCAAGGAGGCTAAAGACCATAGACTCTGGTGTCTGTCGCTAGAGCACCTTTACACGTGCCTCACTGAGATATATCCCGCTGCAGATCCGCAGAACCACACGTTTTTAAGGCTGGTTTATACTTCTGCGTCAAACGCCGGCGTATGCTACGGCGCTGACGCATAGCCCTTTGCCATGGCCGTCAGCGTCGCTGACGTGCACCTCTCAAAAATGTAACTACACGTCGCAACGATGCGTAGCGCAAGCTCTGTGATTGGTCGGCTTGGTAGCGCTGACGAGTCTGGGCCGGACCGAGAGCCATGCTAATGGCGCGAGTGATTGTTTACAAGTGTGGAGTCCCGTGAAGGAGCTACGGATGGAAAGTTTTGTTTTGTGTTTACCTCATAATTAAAGTTGTTGCACGTCCGCCAGTTCCTGCCTCAAAATGAGCGAGTTTGAGCCACTTGTACATCCCGAAAGTGTTCAGGAAAAGCAAAACAGCAGCGAAGAAACTCGACACAGAGGAACATTTACACCTCACTGCCAACTAGGGTTTCAGAAGTGTAATGCAGACCAACAGAGACAGAGCAGAAGTATAAATGCACGGCTACGCGCATTGCATGCGCCGTGGGTTACGCCGGTCACTTGACGCAGAAGTATAAACCAGGCTTCAGGCACACACAATCTAGCACACACGATCTAGACAAACCATATATGGTAACTAACTAACTCATAAGGAGCATTATCGCCACCTGTTGAATTTCACAAATATGGTTTCCTATTCTAGTCATTATTTCATTATTATAAAATTAATAAATAAATATTGTAACGATCATTTTAACATCTCTGCACTGCAGTTTCTGAACTCAAATTATGTAAATAAAAATAATTGGTTTATTCACATGTCCACATTCACAAAAAAAAAACTTAATAGACCATCTAATTGTAGCATTAAGTGTAATAAACTAATTCAGGATGTTAATATTATCATACTTGGTTAAAATCGCTTTGTTGTAAGATATAAAAAGCGAACAATAATGTGTGACATTAAATGAATTAAATGTGTGTGGTTCTGTGGGCCTGCAGCTGGATATTATTAGCCTCACTGGCACATCTGTGACCCAGACAGCAAGTCTTTGCGATGTATCAAGAGCCATATCCAGTGTAATGCCAGCATACCACTGAGAAGGATCAAGGGACTCCACAGAGTCAATATACATGGCTGTGCTCCTATAGCCAAACATTAGGGGCCCTATACACCCGGCGCAATGTGGCGCAAAGCGCGGCGCAATAGTCTTTTGCTACTTTCAGTTTGGCTCAAGTTCATTTTGAGGTGTTGCGCCACACTGTTAAAATAGCAAATGCTTTTGCGCTCAAATGTGCACCCATAGGCGTTCTAGTCTAAAAAAGCAGACGTGTTTTGGCGTGTTGCTATTTTGAGAAACTGTGAATAGTCTGATCTTTAGACCAGAACAAAGTCGGTCTATTGTCTGGCACAAAGAGTGCCTGGCTTACACACTACACACAAGATGCAATACGCAAATATCTTTACATATGAAAAAGATATAATATATAAAGGATATATATAATAAGGATATATATAGGATATAAATATAAATTATTAAAATATTACAAAACATATTAATTTCTAGCCTACATGGATTTAAAAACCACTGCCGTCATAATTTCTTCATCTCAGGAGGCTTTTTCAGTTTATTCAATTTGCTTTTGTATAATATTATTATTAGCAGTTTTATTTATTAAATCCATATTTATATTTGTTTTATTAAAAACAAGCTTAGATTTGTCCACCTGTCAGGTTTTAGACCATATGGGGCATGGCAGGTGTATTTGGAAATAACTCAGTATTTTGACCACACTTTGTTATTATTGTTCATTTATTCGTTTGCTGGAAATTAGAACTAAATTTAGAAATTGTTTTGAAACAAATCTTTGCGCTTAACAAACAAAATTAATTATTTATAGGCTAATTGATGTCTGTGCGTAAAGGTTTCCCTATCCACGAGAGCAAAAGCGAAAGTCAACTTACTTTATGACAAAATGCGATTATGGCGCGACGCAGTTGGCTCTTAAAGAGAATGGGAGATGAGGCTCTGATTGGTTTATTCTCAAAACACACCTATAACTCATTAAGAAAATAAACTCAACCCTTTTAGACCATGCGCCATGGCACAAAGCGGATTTTCCCGTCCTTAAATTAGCAAAAATGCGTTCTGAAGCGTTTGCGCCCTGTGTTTTGTGCTCTGCGCATGGACCGTCAAAATAGAGCCCAAGGTTTCTCGTGCCAATGCCAAACGTTGGTTTCAATAGTGCCAGCATCCAAAATCATGAACTTTGGACAGTGTCAAACATGTATTGTTCTCCACCACTGTCTTTCTCACATTCAGGAGAGTTACAGTGTGGAGAAGCCCCAAAGAAGGGTACCACTCAGAATGTTGCATGTCCAGAGAAAAGCATGAGGGTCAGTGACCATGTTTACATGGACATCAGTAATGAAATTATCTTAATTTAAATCTAAATGAGATTAAGGTTTAATTAAGATGTAATGTGTATTTATATAGCGCATTTATTGTGTATGGCTATACACCCAAAGCGCTTCACAATCATGAGGGGGGGTCTCTCCACACCACCACCAGTGTGCAGCATCCACTTGGATGATGCGACAGCAGCCACAGGACAACGGCGCCAGTGCGCTCACCACACACCAGCTATTGGTGGAGCGGATAGACAGTGATAGAGCCAATTCGGTGGAAGGGGATGATTGGGAGGCCATGATTGTATGGGCCGATAGAGGGACTTTGGCCAGGACACCGTGGTTACACCCCTGCTCTTTCACGAGAAGTGCCATGGGATTTTTAATGACCACATAGAGTCAGGACCTTGGTTTAACGTCTTATCCAAAAGACAGCGCCCACTGACAGTGTAGTGTCCCCTTCACTTTACTGGGGCATTAGGACTCACATAGACCACAGGTTGAGCGCCCCCTGCTGGCCTCACTAACACCATTTCCAACAGCAACCTAGTGTTCCCCCATCCAGGTACTGACCAGGCTCAGCCCTGCTTAGCTTCAGTGAGTAACCGGTCTTGGGCTGCAGGGTGATATGGATATAAATGTTTGTATGAGTTGCTTTTGGAATGTCCCTTTCATGTTCCCGTTTTACATGTTATAGTACATGGATTGATTAACGCCATTATGTCACCACAATGTCCAATGTGTGTTTTGTATTTACTTTCTCAACTTTAACTGTGGTTAGGCAGTTTCACTTTCATTCAACAACCTTTTATTTGTGCCGCTGTGTAATTTGATACCGTACGCCGAATTGAAAGAAAACTTCACAGACAGCACAAAAGAGTGTTCAGTGACGCAGGTGTGACAAGTGTCCAGGAGTTCACCCATGTGTGCATTTGAAGATGCGGGTGTCTGTGGTCCTGTGACGACTCTGTAGGTGCAGAGAATAGTGAATAAACAGTCGCGAGTGTGTATGAACTTTTATGTCGCAAGATGTGGCGAAAAGTCAGTCTACCAGACAGTAATAGTTCTTATTAAGGTGTTTACATGTCTGTACTGCACTTCAATAATGTGATTAAAACAGGAAAATATGTCTTGTTTGGATTTGTGTTTAATACAATTAGGAGTAGTTGGAGTAATGTCATCAAGAATCTCTGTTTACATAGACTCTTAATCAGAGTATTGTCTTAATCAAATTAAAATCAGAGTACTGGTGTGTTTATAAACGTACTCAGTGATGGTTTGAGCTGGAATATTATGGCATTCCTTAGGCCCAATACTTGTGCTAGATGGGCACATCATTGCCAAAGACTACTGAACCATTCTGGAGGACCATATGCACCCAGTGGTTCAAACATTGTATCCTGAAGGCGGTGCCGTGTATCAGGATGATAATACACCAATTCACACAGCAAGACTGGTGACAGAGTTCTATGAACATAGAAGGGAAGTTGAACATCTCCCATGGCCTGCACAGTCACCAAACCTAAATATTTAAGCCACTTTGGGGTGTATTGGAGGAACGAGTCTAAAACGTGTTCTTAACCAGCATCACGTAGTGACCTGGTCACTATTCTGCAAGAAGAATAGCTCAAAATCCTCCTGGCCCCAGTGCAGAACTTAAATCTATCATACCCAAAAAATGAATTGATGCTGTATTAGCTGCAAAAGGAGGCCCTACACCATACTAATGAACTATTGTGGTCCAAAACCAGGTGTTTCAGTTTCATTGTCCAACCCATGTACATGATTACTGTGATTGGTAAATAAGCATAAGACTTTTAATAATAAATGAAAAGAAAACAGTAATTTTTGTTTGGATTATTACACTTCAAATAAGGAGTCTGTATTAACTGTTAAATGTGTGAGAATTATTATTGCATTTAGAAATTCTTAATATATGGTTCCAAATACAACCACATTGTAAAAATAGACTTTATCTTTTAATAGACTTTTATTTATTTATTTTCTTGTCGGCTTTGTCACTTTATTAATCCAGGGTCGCCACAGCGGAATGAACCGCCAACTTATCCAGCACGTTTTTACGCAGCGGATGCCCTTCCAGCCGCAACCCATCTCTGGGAAACATCCACACACACACACTCATACACTATGGACAATAGTCTACCCAATTTAGCCTACCCAATTCACCTGTACCGCATGTCTTGCACTGTGGGGGAAACCGGAGCACCCGGAGAACCTTCTTGCTGTGAGGCGACAGCACTACCTACTGCGCCACTGCGTCACCTAAATAGATTTTGTATTTGGTATATTTCTTGAGAAAAAAAGAGAAAGAAATGCATTAAATAAAATAGTTTTGTTTTAAATGCCAGAATTCCTTTGAATTTGTATTTATTTTTATGAAAATATTATTAATTTGTATAAATAATTGCCATAACCTGTAACTAATTTAATAAAGTTAGTAGTCAGATATCGCTCTAGTTTTCACCTGTTATACAGCTTCATTTCAACAGCATTTGGCTATAATTTAAACAATTTCTGGTTAGAGGTTGGCCTTATAAAGGTTAAGGCCTAAAGTATAAAAACTTTGAGGGACAAAGGGTTGTGGGTTAAGGTCCATTCACTAAAAAAGTCACTTTACCATCACAAGTTATTGCTTAAATGTTCTTGAACAAGTTGATTTTATGTCAAACTCAATACCACAAGTTCTTAAACAAATATTTTCCACGGAAAAAAGTTTCTGTTGGCACTGACACCAAGGCTGTCAACCAGCCACTTGAAGTTAATAATGCAGAATGTGTGTGTGTGTGTGAGAAAGGATGTGTGTTTGAGTATGACCAAGGTTTTACAGTGTTGGGCTGATTACGTTGTCCTCATGATTTAAAACTCATTTAAAACTTGGTTAAAATCATTCACAATTCACAAACAGGTTTCCAGTAAAGTTTGGGTTTACGGGTAGGGGTATGGTATGGCCTGACACTGTAAAAATGTTTTTACATTAAAAAATACATAATGACTATGGGGAGTCTTCATGAATCACAAAACCCAAAATGTGTGTGCGCATGTGCGTTTAGTGATATGTCACGTCACAAACTTGACATTTTGACCTAGCTCTATAAATAGAATCAGGAGAGTAAGGCATTTTGCAAGGAATTTTGCAGTTTATCACTTAAATCTTAAAATATATCGGTACATTTTTTATTTTTTGTATATGCTGTACATTTTTGTTGATTGTGACTGGAAAAAGAAAGAAAATGAAGCAACAAAAGTATTCAGTGTGGGTAGAACTCTGGCTGTTATCTGTAACATCATGTTTATAGTGGTAACAGATAGGCCATCATGTTCGCTGCACATCCTTGACACACAGGGTCGCCCCTGTGCGTTGATTGATGGCGCTGTTTTATCTGCGAGGTGACAAGACCACGGCCTTGTCTGACAGGGCTATAAAGGGGCTGAATTGGCCAGCTTCTCCTCAGATTCAACTTTACTCAGTGTGCTCACATTTTACGTGTAGTCCATTCATCTTTTAAGAAAGTTTTATAATGTTGCCTGCAACATTCAAATTGTGTGCTGGCATTTCTTACAGACACATGAGAAATATGACAGGTAAGAGCACTTTCAAGAATTTCCTGAAATCATTTTGTAATGATATGTCTTTTGTTAATTACGTGTTTTATAATATAACAATCAGGTCTGAGGAAGAATGCAATGATTGCCATCCACCATGAATTGAACAAGCTCTCCGGACCTGGAGCTAGCACTTGGATAAACCACATCCGAAGAAGGAGCTCCTTGCTCAGTAAGAGATCTTGCATATAACTTAAACGCCAGTATAAAGGGATAGGGGACACTGTACATTTGAACTGTTTATGTAATGGATAATAATAATGCCAAATGATTGTCTTATATTTGTATAATATATTAAGAGTTTAGATGCAAAAACCTCTAAAAGCCATTTGATGTTTTCTTCTGAAATTACCTTTTTTTCAGACTCCTTTATGCAGGCTAAGTAACTTTACTTTTATAGTGACGAATAAACTATTTTCATTGCTTTTTAAATGAAATAACTGAACAAACAAAGGAGGCAGACAAAAATGCTCAGTTTAGAAGAACATTTCAGGCGGATTTTAGAGGTTTTTACATCCGAACTCTTCATACACACAAGTTACTTAGGCACTGGCTCTGAAACACCATGTTTACATTGGTAACATATAGTCCATCCTGTATATGTTATTATTAATATTAGTTTTTAAACAGTATTACAGTAGCAATAGTGCTGCTGTTTTTTGTGAGTTTCCAATCAAACTGCTATTCGTCTTGGATTTAGAATATTTCCCCAAAGTTAGCATGAACAAATAGCTGCGACCATTTTATTTTTTTATATTGTGCCGCAGATCCTAGAAAAACAGAATATTTAATGAGAAAACATTACTCGTGGCTTGTTTTGTTTTTTTCTTTTGTTAGCTGAATTGATGTACTAAAGTAGACATTTGATTCAGAAAGATGTGGAAATGAGTTTTAGAGGAGTTTTACAACCTAGCAGACACCTCCTTCTTACCATTTCCGGCACAAATGAAGCTAACAAAATCATATGGCTAGTTTTGATTTCATTTGTACTTTGATGTAACTCACTCATGAAGATGCTAATCTGTTGTTAGCACTTGGGTCATACAATACAGGCAGATGTATTATATGGGCCCTGGGGCACAACAAAAAATCTTTAAGACAAGAGTTGATTCCACAGATGTCTTTATCAGGGTGTAACATCAAAGTGTGCAAAGCCCATTATAATTTGGCTCCCCTAAAATGTTGCATTCACACTGGGTGTTGCTGAGTCATGCCCGATTTACCTTAGCAAATGAACAAGCTTTGCTTCTACTCATTGCCACATATTTAAAAACCAGACATACATTGTCTACCTTTTTACCTGTGCTTATCTGTAAGGGAGTGAACTAAGAAAAAAGTATCCAGTAAATGAAATACGAATGAGCTGAGGACAAATGACTCAAGACTATCTTTTTGGTGGACATATAAACTTGAAGTGGCTAAAGGTTGGGATTTTTTTAGGATGTCAGAGAACTGATCAAAATTTATATTCAGCTTTCAAAAAAAAGTTTGCAAATATTGGTAGGTTTTGAGTATTAGCTTGTAGTTAATCCACTGATGTTAATATAATAACATATTGTTTAACACAGGCAGTCCAATTGCCGAGGAGACATACAGTGAAGCTGACCAGTGCTATGTGCAACAAGGGCAAGAAGCTCTGCAGAAGTCCATCAGTATTCTTGAGGACCAGGATGGCTGGCAAACTGAGATTGAGAGTGTACGTCATGGCATATTTTGCTTTATATAGCTTATTGTGACCCTGGTGAACACTAATATTACTGTAATAATATTAATACAAATTGCATTTGTTGCTTTCCGTCTCTTAGATCAACGGGGAGAAGGTCATGAGTAAAGTCCTGCCTGGCATTGGAAAGGTTTTTAAGTTGGAAGTGACCCTGGAACAGCAGACTGGTGACCTTTATGATGAGCTGGTAGATAACATGGAACAAATGGGGGAGTGGAACCCCAATGTCAAGCAAGTCAAGGTGGGTAAAAATGGCTGATTTACTGATAAATCTATTATTTTTATTCCAATGTGATATATTTTTGGCCACTATGATTTTAAAGTTGCTGCTTCTCTTCTTGCATCTTACACACAGTCCTCCTTCACAATAAAACATAAACTTGCCGTTGCCAGGTGATATTGAGTATTAAGTTTTGCTCCCTCACAGATTCTTCAGAAGATTGGTCAGGAAACTATGATAACTCACGAGATTTCGGCTGAAACACCAGGAAATGTGGTAGGCCCAAGAGACTTTGTAAATGTCCGTCATGCCAAGCGAAGGGGATCCACCTGTTTTCTGGCCGGGATGTCCACACAGCACCCTGGAATGCCTGAGCAGAAGGGATTTGTAAGGTAAATCAGAAGACAGATAAAATTAAACCTTTTGGAATGTAAAGTTGAAGTCAGAATTATTAGCCCCCCTGTTTATTTTTTTCCTGAATTTCTGTTTATCGGAGAGAAGGTTTTTTTCAACACATTTGTAAACATAATAGTTTATTAACTCATTTCTAATAACTGGTTTATTTTATCTTTGCCATAATGATAATAAATAATATTTTACTAGATATTTTGAGGACACTTCTATAAAGCTTAAAGTTACATTTAAAGGCTTAACTAGGTTAATTAAGTTAACCAGGCAGGTTAGGGTAGTTAGGCAAGTTATTGTATAATGATGGTTTGTTCTGTAAACTATCGGAAAAAAAAAAAAATATATATATATATATATAGCTTAAAGGGGCTAATACTTTTGACCTTAAAATGTTTTTTTAAAAATTAAAAACTGCTTTTATTCGAGCCAAAATAAAGCAAATAAGACTTTCTCCAAAAAATATATATATATTATCAGACATACTGTGAAAATTTCCTCTGTTAAACATCATTTTGGAATATATATATAATTTGAAATATATATATATATAATATATATAATATATAAATAAAATTTAAAGGGGGGGGGGGGGGGGGGGTAATAATTCTGAATTCAACTATATGTATGTATATAAAATGTACTGTATCTTGTTTTCAAAGGGCTGAGAATGGACCCACCTGTATTGTCATGCGACCAAGTGCAGATGACCCCAATAAGACAAAATTCACCTGGTTGCTCAGTTTAGACCTAAAGGTAAGTCAATGTCATTTTATGCATTTGGCAGACGCTTCTTATTCAAAGCTTCTTATTCTGGGTTTCTCTTGGAATCAACTAACGGTGCAAGTTTGAGGAGGAGTCCTGTTCCCAGCCAGCGTGGGGGGATTTTAGAAAGTCTATTTAGGAAACTTTTGCAGTCTAGGGTATTTTGATGATTCCAGATGTTTTAAAAAAAATTTTTAAATGTAGCATACCTTTAAACAGTTGTGAGTTCATTGATCAATTAATTGTTTAATGATAAAAAATTTGTATTTAATTACAGTGAAAGTTAATCTGAAATATTTAGTTAGTTAATGGGTGTCATTTCTAATACTGGTTTGCCCTGCTCTTTCACCTACAGGGTTGGATTCCAAAAACTGTCATCAACCGAGTACTTTCACAAACCCAGGTGGATTTCGTAAATCACCTCAGGGACAGAATGGCATCCGGTGGGGGTATAGACGCAGCCATTGCTTGCTGACATCTATTGCCTTAATAAGGGCACACACCTTCCAAGGTCAACCTCATCCCACCCATAGCTATCATTACAAATGTCAAACAGCTACAACAATGAAATTGTCCATTGAAGCAATATGCTAGCCCTTGTTCAAGTCAGACGATTTTTACTTTGTGATAAACTCAGCCGACTACTTCTGTCACCTCCACTTTGCCACTTTAAACTTCTTTTTATTCAGCTGTACACTTCTGCAGAACACAACTTACTAATGTGTAATGGTATGTTGGCTCCTATTTTATTGTTGTTTGTATAAAAAGTATTTATTTTAAGTTAATATTGCATTACCCTGTATGTTAAATTAATTAAATAAAAAGATTATATGAAAACTCAATGTATTTTGTTCCTACAGATATTACACAAGAGGGATTACAGATTATTACAGAAGCCACAAAAATGGATGAAATATATTTATACATCAATATATTTTGGCAGGTCATTAAGTCATTTAAGGCATACAACATTTTGAGTCAGTTTATACCTTTAAGCATCTCATTAATGTTCAAGCAAACAGCACAAGGAAAGGGTTCGTGTCTCGTCTTAGGGGAGAGCGGGACACAAAGTAACACTTTTTGGTTTTGGCCAAACAATGAACAAAGAAATGGGGTTAGACAAACCCTATATTTTAACCTACAAAACACAAGCCTCTTCTACACATGAGCACAAAAAGTATTATCGTCTGACCTATGGTTTCTGTGCAGTAGTGCCAAAAGTGCCAGAAGTAAAAATGTTACTTTTTACCCCACCTGCGGGGCAAGCAGTAACAGTCAGAGGGTTAGTTGTAACACATGCTTAAAAAGGCAGATTTCACACAATTAATTTAAATCCAGTTTACTTTAAATAGTAGCTACAGTTGAAGTCAGAGTTTTAACCCCCTTTGATTTTTTTTACTTTTTTAAATATTTCCCAAATGATGTTTAACAGAGCAAGGAAATTTTCACAGTATGTCTGATAATATTTTTTCTTCCAGAGGAAATCCTATTTGTTTTATTTTGGCTAGAATAAAAGCAGTCTTTAATTTTTTAAACACCATTTTAAGGTCAAAAGTATTAGCCCCTTTAAGCTATATCTTTTTTTTTCGATAGTCTACAGAACCAACTATCGTTATACAATGACTAACCTAATTAACTTAACCTGCCTGGTTAACCTAATTAACCTAGTTAAGACTTAATATGTCACTTTAAGCTGAAAAGAAGTGTCTTCAAAAAAAGCTAGTCAAATATTATGTACTGTCATCAAAGCAAAGATCAAATAAATCAGTTATTTAAAATGAGATATTAAAACTATTATGTTTAGAAATGTGTTGAATAAATCGTCTCTTCATTAAACAGAAACTGGGGGAAATAAGAAGAACAGGGGGGCTAATAATTCAGAAGGGCTAATAATTTTGACTTCAACTGTATATTTCCTCAGTACTTGGTTTATTTTTTTATTCTACACAGCACAATATGTTTGTTTGTTTATTTGTCTATTGGATAAATACATTTGGATTTATTTGCATATCCATTATTATACAATACATTTATATTCATTATTTGCAATAAAAAAAAATTTTCTTAAAATTTTTTATATATAAAAACTTGCCAACATTACACTCAAAAAAAATGTTTTGTTTATTTAATTGGTGTCCAGCAGTGTGTGGCTTATTTGTAACACCCTTTTACAACTAACCCTGCTGCGTCATGTTTTCCTCAAAATTGGCTAGCAGCAGTCACTGTGTGTGTTTTCAAAATGGTTCCATCGTTTAGCCCAGAAGACTTTATGTACATTTATGTACATTCTTTCACAGATATTTTTCTAAAAGATATTATAAACACTGCAAAAATGCTGTTCTTACTTAGATTTTTTTGTCTTGTTTCTAGTCCAAATATCTAAAAGTTCCTAAGTCAAGAAGCATTTTCTAGACAAGCAAAACATATTGTCTTGTTTTAAGATATAATATGCCAAAGTTAAGTGAGTTTTTCCTTCAATCAAGCTAAATAATCTGCCAATGGGGTAAGCAAAATAATCTTATCACAAATCGAAAAACAAGACTATTTTGCTTACTCCATTGTCAGATTATTTTGCTTGATTCGAGGAAAAACTCCCTTCATTTTGGCATATTATTTCTTAAAACAAGACAATATGTTTTGCTTGTCTAGAAAATGATTCTTGATTTAAGAATTTGTAGATATTTGGACTAGAAACAAGACAAAAAATCTAAGTAAGAAAAGCTTTTTTGCAGTGAAAAAAATACTTTTTATGATGCGAAAATGCTTCTTATTTAATTTTCGATTAACTTTTTCAATAATTGGCAGGAAGACGTCTGCCAACACTGTGGTGAAAACCTTGGAAGCATGAAATGGTTAACACTGAGTAAATACCCTTAAAACTCTGTGTTACATTTTACTCCACGTTACTTTGTACCCCGCGCTCCCCTACAGTTAGAAATTTAGTTCATTAAAATGTCTTGTAACCTGGAAAACAGTCAAAGCAAAGATGTTTTTGATCATTCATGTGTTCAGTGGTGGACAAAGTACACAAATAAAGAACTTAAGTAAAAGTACAGATACCCATACAAAATACTACTTCGGTCCAATTGACTTTGAATTTAACTTAAAAAGTACTTGTTTCATTAGTATTTGTTTAATTATTTTTATCCTATTGATAATTAATAACCATTCAGGTGTGCAAACAACATGAATTATGCGTAATTGTATGCACAAATATAAGGACACAATATAAAAAAGACATAATGTAGGGCAAGATGTGGTAATGTTTTAAGAAGCCATACTAGTTTTATATCGACTATACTGTGCTGAACAGCATAGGGAAATATATGACCATCTACTCTACTCAGGTAGTACACATACAGAGACTTCAGAGTACATTCAAGATTGTCGTGACATAAATTATAATTTATGTATGATAATAAAGCGTCAAATTATGCATTGCTTACTTTATTTTATAACATCAGTTTGGTGGTTTTCACTGTTGCCTCACAGCAAGAAGGTCACTGGTTCGAGTCCCAGCTGGGCCAGGTGGCATTTCTGTTTGGAGATTGCCACTTCTCTCTGCGTTCATGTGGGTTTCCCCAAGGTACACTGTAAAAATGCAGGGTTCCAAACAATTCATTCATGTTGTTCCATAACAAATCGATTAGGTTAACGTAACACTTTTTCAAAATTTGTGTGGATTGAACATAAAGAAAATAAGTTGTCTCAATGAAATCTCAAGAATTGTGTTGTTTCAGCTCATTTTAAATAAGTCATTTGAACAAGTAAAAAAATATATATGTTTTTAAAAATATATATATATTTTTTAGTGTATGTTGGTTTCCCCCACAAAACACTATTGGTGAAATGGAGAAACTAAAATTAGCTGCAGTGTATGAGTGTCGGAATGAGAGAGTGTTTTCCAACACTGGGGGTTCAGAAGTTAGTGTAAAAACATAAAACATATGCCAGATTAATTGGCGTTCATTCCACTGTAATAAATCAGGGACTTAAGCCTAAAAGTGAGTGAGTAATCTAAAGACACTCTAACTGGATGGTTTGCATCAGAGAGTCAGCTGTATTGGCTCTACATACTGTATATTGGGCCCATTTAATTTGATCCCTATACATGACATGATTAACCAATTTAACACTTGAGGATAATGTGGGAACCTTTTGTGTTTAGAAGAGTTTATATGGTATTATATTCTTACCAAAGGCGTGACCTGTTTGCATTGTTCTATACTGGTTTTGATTTGTGCATGAAGTAGTTTTTGATTGACTAAAGCTAATGTCGGGTGAGGCAGTGGCGCAGTAGGTAGTGCTGTCGCCTCACAGCAAAAAGGTCGCTGGGTCGCTGGTTCGAACCTCGGCTCAGTTGGTGTTTCTGTGTGGAGTTTGCATGTTCTCCCTGCCTCCCTCCCTTACGTGGGTTTCCTCCAGGTGCTCTGGTTTCCCCCACAGTCCAAAGACATGCGGTTCAGGTGAATTGGGTAGGCTAAATTGTCTGTAGTGTATGAGTGTGTGTGTAAATGTGTGGGTGGATGTTTACCAGAGATGGGTTGCGGCTGGAAGGGCATCTGCTGCATAAAAACTTGCTGGATAAGTTGGTGGTTCATTCCGCTGTGGTGACCCCGGATTAATAAAGGGACTAAGTCGACAAGAAAATGAATAAATGAATGAATAAAGCTAATGTCAATTTAACATATTTTATTTTTTTGTCTTTATGAAATTATACAATTCAATTTAAATCCTCATCCAGGAAAATGAACGCAACAATTTTGCTTAAAGTACAGTAGGCTTTCATTTACACAGTGGAACAAATAATGTTCCTTAAGGAACAGTTTTTTACCTTTGTAAAAATTGTAGCTTATTTGGTACAAACAAGACCTCTGTTCTGTGACTTTTATGGTACAACTGAAATGAAGGTACACAATTGTTCCCATTCAAAAAGTACAAAAGGAACAACTCCTTCTTCATTACAATATCTATGAAAATAAATATGACTGAAAGGCAAAGTGATTTTATGAATAATTTCCATATTAATACATAAATCATCATTTAAAAACATGTTTAAAGAAACTCATAAACATGAATTATGAAGTTCTATAATACAATAATACAAACATAAAACTATGGGCATTGTTAACTAAATATTTAAGGCATTTTAGATAAATGTTTGGTAAGCATTTTCAACACTGTTAAGGTACAAAGTGTCTTGTCACTGTAGTGGTACCTTTATGGATCAGATTTGTACCTTTGATGAAGGTACAATATTGTATCTGCAGGTTTTAAAAACCAAAGGTACATTTTGGTTTCCCATGGTACAAATCAAGTCATTAAAGGTACAAAATGCAATGGTACAAATTTGTTTCTTTGTGGTACAATTCTGTTCCATAAAAAGGTGCTGCCCCAGTGACAAGGTTTGTACCTTCTTTGGTACAAAGTTGTACCATTTTACCAAGAGTGTAGTGCAAAAAACAGCTTTCCTTTTTACATTTTTTATTGCTTTAATCTGAAATCTGTATCAAAATCAGCAATTATTTTGCCATGAAAATTTGTGACGAATTATAAATAGGTGCATCACTAAAACCGTCACAGGGAGTTTTCAGTTGTGTCCCAATTTCATAGTAAAAGAAGTTGGCATCTCTGACAAATCATTACATGTTTTCAAGAGTCAATTGAATAAGTGAGTTGTTTAATACCAAGAATTTTCATTGTTAAATAGATAATCGAAAACTTGTCTCTTTGAAGCATGTCAGACAAGATCAGAGAACTGCTCATTTTAATGCCAGAGGCATCCACTAACAGCCTTTTTGTAACTAATCATGAAATTTAAATCTTACTGTCGTTGAAAAAATATAAAAATATTCCACAAAATTATAGTAATAATTTATTAATTCAATCTTAGTTTAGATACAGTTTTTAAATACCAATATATAAACTTTTAATCATGACTAAAGCGCTCCCAGAGTACCGGAAGTCTATTTACAGTAGAAGAACCACAATTCCCATAAGGCGTCGGGGTTTTCAGTTACTGTGGAAAGGGGGGAAGGGAAACCGAGATTGGAGGGAGAGAAACTAAGGTAAATAAAATATTGGAAATAAAATTCAATTACTAAGGTTGCAGCGACGACGTGAATGCGTTATTAGAAGGCAAGCACGACATTTCTATTTTATTCTCGTGTTTTGTTTTGGTGGATTCTGTACCGCAAAAGACTAATTAGAGACTAGTTAGCTAAGCTAGAAGCGAAGAGTATAAAAAGATATCGTTAGTCAGTTGCAGGGTAAACGCTTTAATAGTCATTAAAATGTGACCGTAATGTAGACAACTGCAATAACGAAAGGTTTTGAGTGGTTTAGGCAAATGTAAACGTGCCATTGTTGCTCATTTAACTTAGAAAGAAGAAGAGGGGATAATACACCGTTACTTGTCAGAAAACTGTTAACATTATAATGTCAGAAGTGCATGAGTTTTTTTTATCTGCTGTCTAATACAACTTATGTAACGTTAGCTGGATTCGGCATTTATTTACGAAATAAATTAATACCGACATATGTCTATATTAGGTTAATGTGTCTTTAAAGGTGTTTGACAGTTCGCTGGATGCTGTCATAGATTCATGTGTCGCATTTCGAGTTGATGCATAGTATCTGATTTCGTTGATATGCACTGTAGCATTAGCTGTCGATTAATACTTTGGCTTTTGAGTTGTCTGTAGTTGCTATTTGTTTGAATGTTTAGTTATTTCGGGTTTTTTAGTCATGATATAGGTGACGTCACCTCCCAACCTGTCTCTGTGTTTAAATGTAATAACCTTTACTTGATCCACGTTTGAAGCCTTCCTGCACATTAAAGCATCTGAAATGTCTGCCATCGGTAACGTGGTAGATGATCGTCTTTTTGGGCTCTATCAGTTTTAACAACAGAGATTCTGTCTTGATCAGATGACGTCATTCCTTTCGGATTACAGTTTTATTAAAATAATGAAAGAAACCTAAAGAGTGCATGTCTATATGTTGCTGAACTGTGTGTTTAATCTTTTCCATGAGGTCAGTTTGCATACTCTACTATTTATGATTTTATCCTACTAGAAACTTCATTTATTATTTCTCTAGCTGTTAGCAGAAGGCCACAGGAAAGTCTTAACAGACCTACCAACCTGCAAAGCCACTAAAATAGATCATTTTAGTGACAGACTGCTAGATACAGTAAGAGCTCAGACCTCTAGGTCTGAATTTCATCCTACTTTTACTGAAATTACTAAGAGATTCCATATTCACACTTGCAGGGCCAGGAGCAGGCGCTTCTGAAGTTCAACCTGCTCTACGACCATGTGTGAACAGTGGGCAGTGTTTGCAATAATCCTGGTCCACAGGATGGATCGACGGTAAGGGGACAAGAGGACAGTGAGCTCATGTCATGGAAGGGGTTGTTGCAGTCACATTACATACAGAGGTATGTATTACATCCTCACCTAGAATACTACCAGTCTGACTTCTACCACTGTACTATTCTGTACTCCCACCGGCCTTTGAAAAAAAAACAAGAAGTGTTAAACATCTCAGCTGTCTCCACTAGACAATAGTGAGATGAAAATAAATGAGAAGACTTGAATTTTGTTCTGTTGTAATGTATGCACGCACACACACACACACACACATATATATATATATATATATATATATATATATATATATATATATATATATATATATATATTTATTTATTTATTTTTTTTTTTTTTAGGGCTGGGCGATATGGCAAATAAAAAACTCTAGATTTTTTAATAAATTTTGACCGATTTGGATTTCGATTATTTTTTTTTTTAATTGTGTAACTAGTCAACTAAAAAAAATATAACAACAACATGACTGAAGTAGCATTCTCTTTATAAGTAACTTAAAAAAACATCTGGTTAAGGAACATTGTATTTTTAATGGCCATGCCATACATTAATTGGTCAACATGGTGTAAAGAAATGTAAAACAAATTCACGAGTTAAATATCGTTGCAGAAGATTTAAATAAAATATATTTGTGTAAATATTTCAGTTGCAGGAATACAGAGTTATTTTTGGCAAGTTTTGCTAAGGTCCGCTAAATGACGTCATGGGGCGGGTACTTTCGTTTTCATTGCTACCTCTGTTGCTCACCTCTGCTCGTATTAAAATATCAGCGCGGTTCGAACTAAGATCGGCGCGTTTTTTCACATGACTGGTTTTTACATCCTTCATACATGTTGAGATCGAGTTTATCGACTTGATGAGGGAATATGTCTTGACAATCCAGACGTGAGTCAGATTAATGCAACAAGTAAAACGGGCAGCACCGGTGTGTGTATAGAAACCTGTTTAGAATTCTAAAATCCATGGTGCTGCACGGCGCGTCGAAGAGCGGCACTTCTGGTGTGCGACCTGCTTACAGAGAGTGAACCAAAGTGCATTGGTAATGTATCAATTACATGTATCAATTTATTATTATTTTTTTTAAATCACGATTTCTTGATTTAATATAAAATAAAATCGTCGTCAAAATGCTAATTCGAATTAATCTAAAAAAAATCGCCCAGCTCTAATATACTATATATATATATATATTTGTATACAACACAACAATATATTTCATTTTTAAACCATTCCATTATAGCCTTGGCTTTATGTTTAGGGTTGTTGTTCTTTTGGAAGGTGAGTCTTTGCCTCGGTCTCAAGTGTTTTGCACCACCACGTTTGACAGTGGCTATGGCGTTTTCAGAGTGATGTGCAGTTTTAGGCTTCCGCCACACATATCTTATGCATTTAGGCCAAAAAGTTGAATTTAGGTCTCATTTGACCAGACCACCTTCTTCCACACATTTGTTGGGTCATTCACAAGGCTTCTGGCAAAAGGGACTTCTTGTTGTTTTCTTTTAACAATGGCTTTCTTCTTGCCACTCTTCCATAAAGCCCAGGTTTGTGCAGTGCAAATGATAGTTGTCCTATGGACAGTTACCCCCAACTGAGCTGTAGATCTCTGCAGTTCATTCAGAGGTACCCATGGCCTTTTGGCTGCATCTCTGATCAGTGCTCTCCTTGTTTGGCTTGCTAGTTTAGGTGGACAACCAGCAGCTCCTCACATTGACTATCATCAAACTGAAAGCAAAAAAATACATAAGGGGTTCTATTTTGACAGTCTATGCTCAAAGTATATAATGCAGGGCGCAAACGCATTCAGGGCATGTCAGAATCCACTTTTGCTAATATAAGGACAGAAAAATTCACTTTGCGCCTTGGCGCATGGTCTAAAAGGGTTGAGCATATTTTCTTAATGAGTTATAGGTGTGTTTTGAGAATAAACCAATCAGAGCTCATCTCCCATTCCCTTTAAGAGTCAGTTGCGTTGCGCCATGGTGCATTTGCTATTTACATGACGTAAAGTAAGTGTTAGTGGAAAAACTGAGCATTTCACAAGCAAGAAAACAGTTAAACAGAGCATCTGCAGCTCGAGAATGAGAGAGAAATTATTAACTTTCACTTTCGCTCTCGTAGATAAGGAAACCTTGTACGCACAGAGATCAATTAGCCTATAAATAATTCATTTCGTTTGTTCAGCGCAAATTTTTTTTTTAAACTATTTCTAAATTCAGTTCTAATTTCCAGCAAACGAGTAAATGAACAATAATATCGAAGTGTGTTCAAAAAGTTAAATCCAAACACACATGCTGTGCCCCATGTGGTCTAAAACCTGACAGGTGGGCAAATCTAAGCTTGTTTTTAATAAAACAGTTATAAATACCCATATAATAAATAATACTGATAATAATGATAACATTTTACTAAAGCAAATTTTTATGAATGAACTGAAAAAGCCTCACGAGATGAAGAAGGCATGAAGGCAGTGTTTTTTATATTTATGTAGGCTAGAAAATAATGTTTTGTAATATTTTAATCCTTTATATTTATATCCTATATATATATATATATATATATATATATATATATATATATATATATATATTAGGGATGTGCGGAGCAACCGGTATTTGTACTTGTATTTGTTGAGGGGGGGAAAGTATTTATATTTGTATTTGTATTCGAGTAAAATTCAAAATGGCGAAAAAAAAATATATTTTTTCTATTACACTTCTAATTTACGTTATAGTGAAAGTATTGTTTAATTATACCCATTATATAAATTATAGATATGCAATATTGGTTGTTGTTTTTGAACATGTGACAAGAAATGTCATTGAAAAGAAAATAACATAGAAGCCATTATCTCATCCAAGGTTAAACCAACAACTAATAAAATACCATTGTGAATATTAGGAACCCCACCACCACCGTTCTTGACACTGAATAGACAGAATAAAAACAAATAATATTTAAAAAAAACTGTACTTCTTCTGAAATAACTTCTTTCCAATGGACAGAATTCCAAAAACTAAAATTAACTAATTAAACCCTGCCTGGGAGATCTGGCAGAACAAAAGTATTCTATATAATACTAAAAGATACAGCCCTGCTATTATCATCTGCCTGCCACAAAACAGACACAAAGTTTTTTTTTTTTTTACTTTTTTATGTTTGAAACTGACTTGCTGGGGCAGAATGTGGCTGTGTTGATGGTTTGGTGCTTGTGGAGGATTTAGCAGAACATAGCTGTGCTGATTGAGGGGATTGATGTTTGTGGGGGATTCACAGACAGTATCAGGAGAGGATGCTTTTAGTGCATGTGATAATACATTACATAGAAGGTTGCGCGGTGGCACAGTGAGTAGCAATGTCGCCTGACAGCAAGAAGGTTGCTGGTTCGAGCCCCGACTGGGTGATCCCCATGTTGGCGTGGGTTTCCTCCGGGTGCTCCGGTTTCCCCCACAGTCCAAACACATGCAATACAGGTGAATTGGGTAAGCTAAATTGTCCCTATTATATGTGTGTGAAAGAGAGTGTACAGATGTTTCCCCGTGCTGGGTAGCAGCTGGAAGGGCAGCCACTGCGTAAAACATATGCTGGATAAGTTGGTGGTTCATTCCACCGTGGCAACCCCAGATTGATAAAGGGACTAAGCTGAAAAGAAATGAATGAATGATTATGCATAGAAGATGTTGACAGATGTTTAATATCTCTGCCTCTGCTGATTTCACTTTTGCACACATTACATACTGTATCACTTTGTTTTATCTGCAGCTCCACTGACTTTTTTTTTTTTTTTTTTACTGGTGGAGGACCAAGCAATGGCTCAGCAGCACTCTCACTCTTTTTCATGGTGCCCAAATGTATTTGAGGAGTTTCAAGTTAATAAAAAGTGACGGGAAGCTATGCTAAGGTTAACTAGCCTATAGCATATATCTTGCTGTCTGCAAAAGACAGTAATGTAGACGTACCATATAACTCCCATAAGTGCATACTATTCGACACAACTGCACAAGCATCATTTTAACCTTTATAAACGAACGTTAACGTTACTCTGTCAACAGTCTATTGTCTAAATTACCGAGCTAACAGAGCTAACGTTGCGTAAACAGATCACCCGATTGCAAACTTCAAAAATGCAGCGTAATAGAAAATCCCGATCAAACTCCGCTACAAGTTTATAAACTGCATCTGGAACCCAATTAAGGTACAAAAATCTATTTAACAAAAATAGTGATGCAGAGAAGTATTTTTTTCGCTCAGCCGAGCCTTCTCTGTCTACTGCTGTGGAGAAGCGTGTGCCAGAGACCTTTTACCTCCGCCCCGCCCTCCGACTGATCGTCTCTCTCTCTCTCCCTCTCTCGCTCTCTCTCTCTCACTCACGCACTGTGGTCTCAGAAGAAAACGCTGCTTTTTGATATAATGCTTTTCTTGCTCCCGAATACAAATAATTTTTCAAGTATTTGTTCGAAATAAGTATTTGTAAAAACACGCTATTCGTGCCTTTCCGAATACCGTATTCGGGTTCGGCTCCCCCCTAATCTATATACATATATATATATATCTTTAATATTTTAATTATTTTTCATATGTAAAGATATTTGCGTATTGCTCTACATCTTGTGTGTATTAAGCAGTGTGTAAGCGAGGCGCACAACTAACTTGCTCTGCGCTGGACAATAGACCGACTTTGTTCTGGCCTATGAAAAAATCTATTAAAGTTTCTCAAAATAGCAACGCACCAGCAATACACCTCAACACGCCTCCCTTTTTAAAACAGAATGCCTATGGGCACACATATGAGCGCAAATGAATTTGCTATTTAAACAGCATGGCCCTAAACATCAAAACGACTCTTACGGCAAGTTGAAATTAGCAAACAACAATTGCGTTGCGCCACATTGCGCCGGGTGTATGATAGGGCCCAAAGTGTCGAGACCTGGTCCTCTCTCGTCTTCCACTGCTGTCTACACTTTTTTTAAGTTTTCAGAACTCTTCCGTGAGACTCGAAACAGGTGGCATGCACAGGTGGCAGTCGTTAACACTTCCGCCACCGGCCTCATAT